GAACCCAATAAGGGCTCCCACAGGACATACATTAACATCCCACAGCAGGGCCCCCAACTGGATCAGGCCCCCTGAATGGGTGAGACAGTCTTTTGGCTTGATCTGTTTGGGAGGCAGCTGTGCATTGGTGCTGGGTCCTGAGCTCATTGCATGAGTTGGCTGTTTGAATCCTGGGACTTATGCAGGGGCACTTGGCTCAGTCTGGGATGGGGGGAATGGAACTGCCTGGACTGAGTCTACCAGGTCGACCCTGGTCCTCGGGGGAGAACTTGGTCTGGAGGAGGTGGGAATGGGGGGTGGGCTGGGGGGAGGCGGGGCGAGAGGGGGAGAACAGGGGAATCTGTGGCTATTATGTTGAACTGAATGGTGTCGTAAAATAATAATAATTAAAAAAAATCATGTATATTAAAAAAAAAATGTCCCTGATTCCTTACCGAAAAGCTATCCAGCTTAAACACTCTAGTTCTTGTGTCCTTGGGCCTTATATACCTTAGTCTATCCAGCCATCACTTCTTTCCTAGTGCTGGGATTAATGGTATATGTGCTTCCCAAAACCTGGGATTAAAGGTATGAGATCTCATGTGCAGGTGTTAAAGTCAAATGACAACTGAGTACTAGAATTAAAAGTGTATTCCAATAATGCCTGGCTGTGTTTCTCCCTTAGACTGAGTCAATCCCAAGTAGTTCAGGTTAGCTTTGAATGCGCTGAGATACAAACTGATCTCTGCTTCGCCAGTGATAGGATTTTAGATATGTACCACCACTTCCTGTCCTCTATATTTAATCTATTGGCTTGTTCTGTGTTCTGATTTTCAGGCACATTATTTACGGTACAAAAAAATATCACCACACATACCTGGAAGAAACTCTCTGTCAATCTGACATTGATGTGCACCTCTGCATGTCACTAAAATGTGCTGGTTATTTAAGCATACCTCTACTCTTGCAATTGCATCAGATGCATGTTGATGCATAATTCTTTCACTATGAAAACCAGGGAACATTATAATGTATAATGTATAATTTTGTGAAAGAATGGTGAATTGAAAAATGTATGAGTGTCTTATATTATATGGTAAGCAAACAAAAGTGGAAAGATCGATTTTCTCAACTATTCTAGCCCTGAGAAGCTGTCCATGGGCTAATAGTAGGTCTCATACCCATGCATACTCAGGTGCTTTACATGAACACAGATAGCAAATAATTGAGCTACTACATGATTAAAGGATGGACTAGTGATTACAGACTAAATCTGTGAAGGGAATGTAGTGAATTTGTTCAAATTTTCAATAATCACACATTAATCCTGAAAAGGAAATTTTATGAGTATGAATTGGTACTGTGGAACCAAAATTAATGCCAAATGCATGCAGACATGTGTGGAACCACACAAAAAATTAAACAGACAAATTGTCAATAGCTGAATGTATATATGTATCATGAATATATCTTTCTAAAAGGAATAGATCAGAGTATTGCTTAATCAACATGACATTGTAAGATACAATATGCAAGTTAGGAATTTTCAGAGCAGGGAGTCAAAGTCACATCTCTTTTTACAATAGAAGCATTCCATTTCAGGCACTATATACACACACATACGCACACAAACACACAAACACAAACACAAACACAGACACATATATATCTAAGGTCATTACTGAATTTCAATTATTTAATCGTTTCTCTTGGGGAAGCTATCATGATATATCAGAAACTATCAGTCAGCAAGCAGAACCTGGCAGCAGAATTCACAAATGTCCATCTCTAGGCAGAAATGGAAATTTTGTGTAGATAGTCAGGATGTAGAAACAAGCAGAGGGATAAATGTTCATGCCCTACTTGTCACAGGTTTTTTCCCTTTTCATAATTTTAATGAGAACTCAGGATCAATGATGTTGTTTCCCTCTCATCCACTTTCAGTTTCACTGCTTCTGCTTCTACATGTATTCAAATGGAGACAAGAATGATTCAGCAGCTCCTGTGTTCATCTCCAAGGTAACCTCGGGATTTGCCTCCATTGCTAAAATTGAGATCACTGTCCTTATTGGTTCTTATTCTACAATGAATTTGAATGCACACTGTCCTTCAATCAGAAGCAAGGAGTGCTTATAAAAGCGACAACATTGTGAGCTCTTACCAGTCAGGCTTTGGCCATATTCCAGGACACAGTGGGTCCTGGGTATGGCTAAAGCCCGACTATACATTGGATAGGCAAGACAGACTGCTCCTGACATGTACAGGAGTCAGAGCCTGTGGAAATCAGCAAAGACAGGGATTGTTTGTTTCCCAGCATTATAGTGATTCCTTAGACACCTACTCTGTCTCCTGTGCAGGAAGTAGCATCCTGCTTCTGAAGTAACTGCTTCTTTTTTAAGTTTGATATTGCTGTGTTACATTTAAAATGCCATATCATATGTTAGGAATGTAATCTATTTCAGACCTTATATATGACAGATGATTTTGGTGTCAGGCTCCTTTCTTCACCCTGGGAGGTTACTGTGGGAACTGATATGGCATTGTCAGTGTTCACAATCAACCCATAGTGTCAATGAATATATCAGGTAGTGACATTTGCTGATGAGGCCCTGCCTGTCACCCAAGGCATGCATTCACATTAAAATGTAGTGCAGGAGCCGGGCGGTGGTGGCGCACGCCTTTAATCCCAGCACTCGGGAGGCAGAGGCAGGCGGATCTCTGTGAGTTCGAGGCCAGCCTGGTCTCCAAAGCGAGTTCCAGGAAAGGCGCAAAGCTACACAGAGAAACCCTGTCTCGAAAAAACCAAAAAAAAAAAAAAAATGTAGTGCAGGAAATTAAGATGTTATCACCCGTTGTCATTTATCATCACAGATTCAGCTTTCCAAGCTTGATTTCCTTTCTCCTTTTATTTTTGCCTATACAAGCTATATAGTTCTTTTGTTTTTCTCTCCTAGTCAGCCCTTTACTCTTTATGTCATTAGGCCAGGCCTAAGCTTTGTTGGAAATCAATTATTCACTGGTGCTAAGAGGATAGTTTTACATATTTACCTTGAAAGTAATTCACACACCAGATTTCCTTGTTCTTCCTTATGCTTTTTTTATTGTTTTATTTGTAATTGTGTAGATCTTGTCTCTCCAATCTCAGTCTCTGATTTTCTATGCCTGATAATACATTTGAGGTGAAGTAACACTGTTGCTATGAATTCGTCTACTACCTCTGAATATGTTAGATCTTTTTCTGCCTTCTTTTCTACGCAGATTTTGATGCTTTTGGTTTGGGAGCAATGAAGTCACATAATATCACAAATAGTACTCCCATGCCTGCCAAGCATTTAGAAAGACCCTATGTGTACATTCTTGCTTTATTACGCAAATAGTGCATGATGGAACACCTCTGATTAGTGACATTTGATGCCCAGTTCCAATGGGTACATATAAGGGAGCCCACAGAGTTTTGATAGTGAGATATGAGCTTAGTTTATCAGCAATGCCTCAAAGAGGTGATTAGATCATGGGCATGGTTATTAGATGTTTTGAAAGGTCTACAGTTGTTTTTAACAATTGGAGTATGTGGTAAAATGATCAATTTTACCAAGATTTTATAGTGCTGTTAGCTGCAATTTGCAAATTAACAGAGACGGGGTGGTGGTGGTGAGTACAAAAAATAGATATATTAATGGCGTAGTAAGCAGTCAATAGAGTTTAAAATTCCAAGAATCATTAATAAACTTTATTTTTAAGAAGAGGAAGAAGAAGATGAAGAAGAAGAAGAAGAAGAAGCAGAAGCAGAAGCAGAAGCAGAAGCAGAAGCAGAAGCAGAAGCAGAAGCAGAAGCAGAAGCAGAAGCAGAAGAAGAAGAAGAAGAAGAAGAAGAAGAAGAAGAAGAAGAAGAAGAAGAAGAAGAAGAAGAAAGACAGACGACAAAGACGAAGAAGACT